GATGTTACTGCTGTTTATGTTTTGTAACCATAACAAATTCACTTATATTAGTTCTGTGAGTTTCTTCAGATTCCTTGGAATTTTAAACTTAGAAAACCATGTTTGTCAACAGAACAGTTTTATTTCTTCCTTTCCTATCATAATGCCATTTATTCCCTTTTCTTGCCTTATTGCACTGGCTAGGACTCCCTATGTTTTAAGAGTGTTAAAAGCAGATATCCCAGATTAGTCTAAATTTTTTTTGTGTGTGGTACTAGGGATGAAACCCAGGACCTCGTGCATGCTAGGCAAATATTCCACCACCGAACTGCATTCCTAACCCTAATCTTGTCGAAGATTTTAAGTGGAAAAACATTGAATCTTTCACCAATAACTATGGTATTGGCTGCTTTCGTAGATGCTCTTTATGTCAAATTGAGGAAGTCCCCTTATTAAGTAGTTTGCTAAGAGTCTATTATGAGTTCAGTTGAATTTTCAAATTTCTTTTCCATATTAATTTATAATCATGTGATTTTTCTTTACCTTATGATATGTTAAATTCATTGATTTTCTTTCTTTCTTTCTTAAAAATTTTTTTAGTTGTAGATGGACACAATATCTTTATTTATTTATTTTTATGTGGTGCTGAGGATCGAACCCAGTGCCTCACCCTTGCGAGGCAAGTGCTCTACCACTGAGCCACAGCCCCAACCCCATTTTTCTTTTTTTAAAATCATTGATTTTCTAACAGTGAACCAGTTTTATATTCTTGAAATAAGTCTCACAAGACTATGGCATATAATTCTTTTTATATATGGCTAGATTCTCTTTAGTAATATTTTGTTGAGGAGTTCTGTACTTATGTAAATGAGAGATTTTGGTCTATAGTTTTCTCGTTTTTTGTTTTGGTATCATGGTAATAATACTGGTCTCATCTAATGACATGGAAATCACTCCTATTTTCTGGAAGAGGCTGTGTAGAATTGGTGCTATTTTTCAAATATTTGGTAAAATTTTGCAACAGAATCATCTGCTTTGTTTCCAATTGTGTCCCCATTCCCCAAATTCATACACTGAAGTTCAATGAAATTGTATCTAGAGATATATTCTATGAGGAGTTGATATGTTAAATGAGGTCATACAGGTGGGGCCCTAATTTATTAGAGCCCTGTTATACTATGGATCTGGAATGTCCCCCAAAAGCTCACGTGTTAAAGGATTTGTTCCCAACCAGTAGCAGAATCTAAGAGGTGGCGCTTACGGGAGGAAGTTAGGTCATTGGGGACATGTCATCGAAGGAAATACTGGAAACCAACCCTTCTCTCTTCCTTTCTCTTTCATTTCCCAACTGTCATGAGGTGAGAAGCTTGCTCTACCACATATTCCCCACCATGATGTTCTGCCTCACCAGACCCAAAAGCAACAGGGATAAGCAACCATGGACCAAAACCTCCCAAACCATGAAATCAATTAAAAATCATCTTAAGTTAATTATCTTACATATTTTGTTACAGTAATGGAACACTGTCTAACATGTACCCTTATGAGAAGAGACACCAGAACTGACTTCCTCTCTGATAAGGACACAGTGAAAAGGCAATCATCTACAAGATAGGAAGAAAGCTCTCACCAGGATACCCTAATGACACCTTGATCTTAGGACACTGCAGTCAACAGAACTACAAGAAATAAAAAATTGCTGTTTTTAAAGTCATGCTACTTTATTTTGTTACAGCAGCTATAATGGAAAAATATACTATCTAAGGCCTGAAAAATTCTATTTTTTTTAGAGGTTCTTAATTTCATATTCAATTCCTTTAAAACTTATAGAACTATTCACATTACCTATTTCATATTGGTGAGTTTTGGTAGTTTGTAGTTTTTGAAGAATTGGTCAATTTCATCCAAGTTGTTATATTTATGTGTACAGAGATGTTTGTAATGTTCACTTATTGTTTTTCAATGTCTTTAGGATCTTAGCACTCTCCAATTTTATTCCTAATGTCAGGAATTTCTGTCTTCTATTTTTCTTTTTCAGTCTTACTGTTGCTTTGTCAATTTTATTGATCTTTTCAAATTTTTTAACATTGATTTTTCTCTATTTTTTAATTTTCAATTTCACTGATTTTTGATCTTTATCTCCTCCTTTTTCTTTGTGTTTATTTTGCTCTTTATTTTACATTTTTGAAGTGGGAACTTAAAATACTGATTTGAGAACATTTTTTTCTAATATGTTCAGTGCTTCAAATTTTTCTTAATGACATTCCACTAACTGTTTACTTTTATCCCCCATTTTCACTCAGTCCAATGTATTATTTATTTATTAGTTGTAGTTGAACACAATACCTTTATTTTATTTTTATGTGATGCTGAGGACTGAACCCAGGGCCTTGCACATGCTTGGTGAGCACTATACCACTGAGCCACAACCCCAGCTCCAGTCCAATGTATTATTTATTTATTTATTTATTTTTAGAAATATTTTTTTAGTTGTAGATGGGCACAGTACCTTTATTTTATTTGTTTATTTTTATGTGGTGCTGGGGATCGAACCCAGTGCCTCACGCATGCTAGGCAAGCACTTCACCACTGAGCCACAACCCCAGCCTCAGTCCAGTGTATTTTAAATTTCTCATTGACCCATAAGTTGTTAGAAGTAGGTTTAGTTTGCAAGTGTTTGCAGATATTTTTCTAACGTATATTGTTTCAATTTTTTAAAAAGTGTTGAAGTCTTTGTTATGACCCAAGATACCATCTATCTTGGTGACTGAAAAGATGTTATATTTTTATGTCACTGGGTAGAGGGTTCTATAAACATGAATAGGTCCTTTAGGCTGATGCTGCTATTAAGTTCTATATCCTTGCTGATTTCTTGAATAATAGTTCTATCAATTGCTGAGAGAGGGAACTGAAGTCCCCACCTATAATTATGGATCGATCTATTTCATCTTTCAGTTCTACCAATTTTTTCTTCATCTTTCATGTCATGAAAACCACTTTTGAGGGGCACTGGGGATTGAACTCATTCAACTACTGAGCCACATCCCCAGCCCTATTTTGTATTTTATTTAGAGACAGGGTCTCACTGAGTTGCCTAGTGCCTCGCCATTGCTGAGGCTGGCTTTGAACTTGCAATCCTCTTGCCTCAGCCTCCTGAGCCGCTGGGATTACAGGCATGCACCATGGCTCCCGGCTCATTTAAACCACTTTTGTTTGGTGACTAGTAGACATTTGGAATTGCTATGTTCTTTGTGTGTGTGTGTGTGTGTGTGTGTGTGTGGTGTTTGGGATTAGAACCCAGGGCCCTTGTGCATGTAAGGCAAGCACTCTACCAACTGAGTTATATCCCTAGCCCTGGAATTGCTATGTTCTTGATGAATTAGTCCTTTTATCATTATGTAACATCTCTCATTATTGCTGATGAGTTCTTTTCTCTTAGGTCTAGAATAAAGTACTCATGACTTTAAAAAAGTGTATGGTATATATTTTTCATTCCTTTTACTTTCATTGTTTTTGAAGTAAGTTTCTTATAGACAGCATATAGCTAGGATTTTAAAACAATTTATTCTAAGCTTTGTCTTTTTATGGTATATTTATTTTTTAGTGCATGACTGTTATACATGATAGTGGGATTCGTTTTAACATATTCATAAATGCACATGATAAAGTTTTTTCCATTTCAATCCCCAGTACTATTCCCTTCCCTCCCTTCTTCCATTCCCCTGATTTCCCTCCTCTACTCTATAGGTCTTCCTTCTGTTTACTATATATATATATATATATATATATATACACACATATATATTTTTTTTAGTTGTAGAATATATATATATATATATATGTATACATATGTGTGTGTATGTATGTGTGTGTATGTATGTGTGTGTGTATATATATATATATATATATATTTATATTTATTTATTTTAGTTGTAGATGGACCTTTGTTTCATTTATGTGTGGTGCTGAGAATCAAACCCAGTGCTTTACACATGCTAGGCAAGTGCTCTCCCACGGAGACACTTCTAATTCTGACATTCTATCTGTTCTAAGTCAGCTTCAGTTGACTGATTTTCTAATCATTTTGTGTTGTATTCTCTTGCTTTGGGCTTTATTCTTTTGCAGGCCTGGTGATTTTTTAAATTGAATGTCAGACATTATGAACTTGTTGTATGGATGATATTTTTGTTTTCTTATAAATTCTATTGGCCTGCGGGATGCAGCTTAGTGGTAGAGCATTTGCCCGGCATGTTCAAGACCCTGGGTTGGAACCCCAGCACCACAAAAATAAATAAATAGATAGATAAATTTTAAAATAATATAGATTCAAAATAAAAAAAAGTTCCATTTATCCTTTTTAACTTAAAAAAAAAAAGGCTTAAGTAAAACTGACATAAGCAAAATGCAGACCATAAAGTTACAATGGTCTGGTATGGATAGCCCATGTAGCCACTTCCCCTACAGCCTTCATATATTACACGTGGCTCACTCCGGGGAAGTCTTCCCTGTTCTGTGTTCATTTCACGGTAGGATCCTACTATGGTCAAGTTTCAGCCCCTAGCAGGGCACTTGTCTCTGAAGTCCTCAACCACCAGATGATGAAAAGGACGATCGCCCTGAAGTAGTTAGGCTGTGCGTTTCTCAAATTGCATGCATCGAACGTCTGGGATCAAACAAGAAAAGGAGCGCGGCCCAGTTCTGCCTGTGCTCAGAAGGGGGACTCCACGGCTGGTCATAACCCGGGAGTTTACAATTACCCCCAGCCTACAGTTTAGTTAACCGTGCCGTCCAAAGCTGGGTTGTAGACGCGCGCTGTCCAGGACGCAGCCCCTGCAGGCACCAGGACCTACCGACCTAACAACCAGGTCCCCATTCTTGGATAGGCTCTAGCTCACCCACTAGGCCTCTCCACCACTACTGCACCAGATAAAAGGTGCGGAACAAACGATAAAAACCAAACCGAGCCCAAAACCCTTCCGAGGCGCTAGGCCACCCCACGTGCACGCCCTCGGTCCACTCACCAGCCACGCGTGCGCAGCCGCCCAGAAGAGCTCCGAGCTCGGCGGGAGCGGGGAGGTGCGGAGCGGCCCGCGCAAGCGCAGACCCCGGCCGAGGCGGGCCTCTTCCGGGAAAATTTCTCCGGCTTGTACTGTCAGCGAGGGCCAGCTCCTGAGGGGAGCCCTTCCATGAGCTGGTGTCTCCACAGTTGCCTCCAAGAACGGTGGCTCCCCCCAAAAAATCTTTTAAAGTTTTTAGTTAGACTCGAGTTAGGCCCACTAATTTGGCACCGAGAGATTCAGGTTTTCAGAATCCAAGCCTCATCTATCTAGTGTTATAATCGAAACGTATTGAGATTAGTGGCAGGGTTAGGAAAATTTCATCCTCTTCCAGTGCCTTCAGCGTGGAATGCACCGATCGATCAACGTATATTAAAGCAAGCATAGAGTCCCATAAATATAATTTTTGTAAACTACACCTAGCAACTACAGTACCTGGCACGTATAAACTATTAGAAGGTCCCCTTTCACCTTGGCAGACTAAGTGACATTTGTTTTACATCCATGAGGCAATCTATAACGTTCCTATCTCTCACCTCCATTTTGTTTACCAATTTTATGATTTTTCTAAGTTGTCGTACTGTTTTAAATATATCTAGTTTTAAACGCTTTCTGGTATAAATAAATTGTTCAGCTCCTAAATGATGCCATTCAATTGTACTTCACAAGAGTAGGTTTATAACTGGATGGCCATAGTTTCTATTTAAAGTGCTGTTTCCAGTCTGTAGTAACCCATATTTTGACTTTGATCTGAACTGATAAGTCTTTTAAACTAAATATTTCAAAATCGGGTGTAACTTGCAGGAAAGTAAACATATTAAATGAAATCACTTAACAAATCAAGAAAGAATAGCCAACTTTTATGGCAGAATTATTTTTCATAGAGGTAATGTTCCATACATAGAAGACTGCCTTGGCTTATAAGTTCACAGAAAAGCTTATATTAAAGCAAATTATTCTTGTTCTGAAACAATGTTTTCAAAGCTTCCATTGTTTTAATAGCATGTAAGACACAAGTTATCTTATGTATTTTACCATGTTATTTTTGCAATTAAAGTTACCATAGATTTTAGAGAGCTTAACTATTTCTACCTCCATCAGTAGCTGAAGATTGTTCAGAAAGCATGCCAGTAGTACAGGAAGATTAGTACTTTCCTCGTGAAACGTATGCACTGTAATTTAAGTAGTTTTCACTCATAAGAATTTAATTATCAAAGGCAAACTAATTTACAATCAGTTTGATTATCAGTAAAAGGAAAATCACTTGTTCAGTTAAATTAGACTTGAAAGATGCTTTCAAATCCATTTAAATTCAGGGATTATTTCTGGAAATGGTACAAAAAAGGAATGGAGATCACTCTAAAAAACTCTTATTTTAAGACAGTTCCCCCCACTTTTTTTAAGGAGGCAGGGAAAGCACACTTTGTTCTTTCTTGTTGTAGATGGACACAATACCTTTATTTCAAATTTTATGTGGTGCTGAGGATAAAACCCGGTGCCCAGTGAGCTACAAACCCAGCCCCAGTTTTCTCTTCTTTGAGCTGGATGTCTCTACATTGCTGAGGCTGGTATGGAACTCCTGAACTCGCGCAATCATCCCTTTCCCCTGCTTCACTCAGCTTCTTCAATAGCTAGGACAGGCTCCGCCTACCTCCACACCTGCCCCCGACCCTTTTATGTAAGACCTAATTACATATATTACAAAAACACAAAATCCTGGGTTTTTTTTTTTTTTCCATTTTTGAGTTACTCAAAATTAATTACTCAAATTATCATACATAGAATTATTCAAATTATCCTTTGCATAATGCAAAAGATTTTCCCTAGAATTCTAGTCCCATAAAATACTTAAATTTTTTTTTTTAGTTGTTGATGGACCTTTATTTTATTTATTTATTTATATATGGTGCTGAGAATTGAACCCTGTGCCTCACACATGCGAGGCAAGTGCTCTACCACTGAGCCACAACCCCAGCCCCCATAAAATACTTTGAATGTAATGATTAAAATCTTCGAAGTCTTACAATATTGATGTATTAAAGCCTTTAACTCTAAAGAAACGTTTTCTCAAACTTACATCAGACTAAGCTATAAAGAACTAGTGATGCATGAAATGCACTTTGGGAATCTCTTGTTAGGATTTTTTTTGGGTGGGGGGGGTACAGGAATAATAAGCATATTCAGCAGAAATTGAAATAATTATGCCATGGTTTCAATGAGTCTCCTCCAAAATTCAGATATTAAGAGGTGCTACATTTAAGAGGTGATTAGGGCAAGATTCCTTCTTCATATAAGAGTGTAGGTGCCCCTTCAAAGGGGCCTGATGGAGGTAGTTCTTTATTGCTATTCCACTTTCAGCCACATAAAGACATAGCAAAAAAGCCCTCACCAGATGCCCACACATTCATCTTAGACTTCCCAGCAACCAGGACTATAAGAAAACAAGTTTCTGTTCTTTATAAATCACCCAGTATCAACTATCTTGTTAAAAGAGCAAAAATGTACTAAGGCAGTGAAGTTACTAAATCAACTTTTTCATAAAAAAGACAGTAATATTTACTCCATTACCATGGCACTATGGTGGTTGTGGCGTAGGGCTATAGGATCATGCTGTATTGAAGATTTAACTATTTAAAAATTATTAGTGACTATCAGGTATTAGACTTGTGTTGGGGTACATGTATCTGATGAAGTAAAATGTGTTTTTAGAAATATTTAGATACAACGGAACTCTTATTGAATATTTATTATATTTTATCCATCGCTGTTTTTAAAAATTTTTCATTGGAAAGATGTATGATTATAGATGAAGGAGCTGTGAAAGTTAATGTAACCTCTCTAAGTAACTTAGGAATTGAATCTAGGCCTGTCCACCCTGTATTTTGCCAATTCAAATAGCCTTACTAGTCAGTTCTCAGGGCAGTGCAGTTATGATCACGCATACCAATGAGAAGCTCCACTACTAATATATCTTGAACATTAAAAAAAATTTTTTTAAAGCCTATCTTGGCAACATAGACAGAAATGAACAATACCAAAAAATAAGTACAACACTGCTAACACTAAGAAACACCAATGACTTACCTCAGACCTCAGTTCACTCTTGTGCTAGATGTTAAAAATAACTAATACACAATGATGAGCTCAGTAACCTGTAGATTTATGTGTTTGAGATCTTAAAAATAATCCATAGCTTTGAAATGAGAAATAACTAGCCTGTGACTATGGTTCCACCCTTAGTAATGAAGGGAAACAAAAATTCAAAACACATTCTATTTACTCTTCTTAAACTACTTTTATCGTCCTTAGATTAGAATCAAGCCTCAATATAAAAACACTATAAATCAAATATTCAAAGAAAACTTACATTAGAAATTAATAATTTTCAAAATGCATTTAAAAAAAACATTAACTTTTCAAAGAGTATGTTCATAAGATTTAAAACTGGGCAAAGGGTGAGGGCTGGGGTTGTGGCTCAATAGTAGAACACTCACCTAGCTCATGGGAGGCCCTGAGTTCAAAACTCAGCACCACATAAAAATAAATAAAATGAAGGTATTGTGTCCAACTACAACTAAAAAAATACATATTTTTTAAAAACTGGGCAAAGAGTGAAAGAAGATGTATGTAGCACACAGGAGGAATGACTCATACTACTAAAAACATTTACTACAAATCATACCCCAAATCTAATGATTTAACTAATAACTCTGAAATTGCTTCTAAGACTGTGGACTAAAATAAATATTATAGAATATAAACAAAATTTTAATTTTTCTTTCTGATTGCTGGGTATCCTATGAGGGTTGAGGGTTCTCTCAGAAGGTAATGCAAATTTGATTTTGTTCTATAGGTATATTTTAAAAATTATTTTAGGAATGTACAATGTTCTGCGTGATTCATCCTATGATGTCCAACTAGCATCACTTCAATATTTTTCATAAAATAGTCTAGTTAAGTACCCACGAACAAATCACACATGGTCATAACAAAAATGTAATAAAAATATTTAGTGAAATGACATTTTAACTCCCATTTATGGATTTTAAAAATACAAATAAAATTTATCAATTTGATATTCAGCTTTTAACAGGCTCAATACATAGCCTTGATTTATTTTCTAAAATCATACTGCAGCATTTTTGAAAAACTAAATGCAACTTTATACCTTCATTGTTATAAGAGAGGTAAATATTTGAATAGTACACTCATCCCTGGGTCTCTTAAAAAAATTGAAAAGTCAGCATAAGTTTAAAATTTTAATATTTATAAATTTAAAAAATTTTACACGTGCTGAATGGTAGCAGTGCTAACATTTTGTGACCATTAACCACAAACTCACTGCATAGAGCTTCTTTCTTTGTACACAGAATCAAATCACAATACCAATATTTGCAATTTGTCATAATTTTGCGGTAAAAGACATCACACCAGAAGCCTGGGCTCAGAGCACACTTGAGGTCAGATCCCCAGGAGGAACATAGTGCAGATGTGGTATTTAACTTCAGGCTAGGGAAATTTGCTGTTAGTATATATCTGACAACTCCTAATAGCTAAGAGACCTAAAAATACAGTCTGAAAAAGAGAAAATCAGACCTCTCCTCTGCTGAGGACCAGGAACAGGTGAAGGAAGAGCAAACCACAGTGGGTGAGGAGGGTGGATAGATGGTTCATGGAGTGAGTCTCACAGGTGATAGATTATGTGTAAGCCACACCTCTCAGTTCATGGTAGGGAATAACCACCACAGCTAGCTTAGAATATTCTATCTTACAAAGACTTCCACACAGAGAGTTACAGGCTAGAAACAGAATTCTTCATTCATCTTCTTTAAAAATAAAACAGAATGGATGCCCACTATTAAGCTTCTATCTTTACCTGAACCAAATTATTCTTTGGCTACATATGTCATGGGTTCTCATTATTTGCCCAGTGGCATTTCTTACATCTAAATTAAAAAGCTTAAAGTTCAACTTGAACCATGGCACTTCAAATCAATTTGGGCTCAGCAAGATGCCTACCTTGGACATATTTTAATGTCAGATAATCAATTTTTAAAGAATTCTTAAATGCAGTGTTTTCAGAACATAGTTACCAACTCAGAGAAATACCCACTTACATTTAAAAATAATTTAAAAGATTGTTATATTCTCAAATCATTTGTTTTATGGAAAAAATTACAGGAAATTATGTTAAAACTTCATATCTGAATTAGTTCCTTATTTTCTGGTTTGAAAAACAAAAACAAACAAAACCCCTAAGAAATACTGAGGTTCCTTCTGACTTAAAAGGTTAATATTTTATTCAGGAACCAATAATGACAATTACCTGTCAGAGACAGCTAACTTAGCAAGGTCCAACAACCACCACCTCTAACAACAGAGATGGCAAATAGAATACAAGTAATAAAAATCGTATTTTAAGGGTTATACCAACACTGTCTACCAAGAGATTCAAACTTGGAATCCTTGAAACTGACAGCTAGTTTCCCTTCAATACTTGAGGGGGTTCATAGAAATTTTAACAGAAACAGAAACATGGTAATGTTAGGACTTTAGAGACTTGACATTTTTGGTAAGGGAGAAAGTTCAATCAAGACAGGGCAGTATTAGTAATGCTGACTGGTGGGGGGATTATATAGAAGCTTGTTTTTGAAATGAAAATTGTGAAGGAAAAAAATAGTAGTAATCATCTCTTCTGAACAGGGCAATGTAATTTAAGTAGATACACAGTTTACCATAAAAATAAGTCTGAATTCTTAAAATTAGTTTGAAAAAACCTGCAAAGTTTTGTTTACATAAAATGTTACACTTTATACCAGATGAAAACTCAATGCAGTGATGTTAACATGCCACTGTCTTCCAACAAAGTAAAAGACTGCCAGGCAGAAAAGACCCAAGTAACTGTGCTGGAAAGAATACTGTCAAGCAGTTTGGCTATCAGCAGCCACCCATCCAGCACAAGGATCATAAAATCACACCACCCTTTTTAACAGAACTACAAGAACAGAGTTACAGGTGCCGTTACATTAATACAAAGTGTGAGCATACAAAGTCCTTAGTAATTGTGCCTTAGGACTCCTTAGTGATTGTGCCTTGGGAAACAAATAAGGAACAAAAATGAATCACAAATCAAACAAAGGGTACAAGGAAAACTTAAGTTTAGAGGATACTATGTGAACAACAGAAATTTAATAAAACAATCTAAAAATTGAACACTTAACAGTGCCCCTTTAACATATATAAAGAACAAAAATAATGTTTTTGTTTAAAAAAAAAAAAAAAAACTTTAACAAATTAACAGGCAGTTGTAATTGGAAAAACCAATTTACTAAATTCAGCCAGTGTTCAATACCCACTGGGCCAAGAGCATTAAGCAAAGTAAAACAAAATCTGAAGAGCTAATAAACATAGCTTAAGACAAAACTGAGAAAATGAAAAAGATCCAGACTAAACAAATATCCAATTAGGCAAACGTTTACACAAACACCCTGAAGAGTCTAGCTGGTACAATTCAGTGGTATCCTTACTACCTAAAATGTGGTGTCAACCCCCATCCCCTTTGCCACTAATTGACATTCTGATGATCTCTTAAACATTATTTGGTCCAATCTGAAGTAAATGTTGTTTTAATTAAAAATAGTCTACAAAAATTGGAGTATTAGAATCTGGGAAAATTTAGCAAATATTTCTATCTGGATAGGAGTTATTTAAATACAGATGCCTTTTTACTTACTAAGGCATTCCTTTCCTACCCATCTTTACTTTTAATAAAAACCTGATTATAGTTTTGTCCTGGCCAGTCAGTTATGGGTCTCAGTGCCCTTGTGTGTCTCAGGGACCATATTTATCACACATATACACTACTCACAAGTGCTGAGGAAGCTTGAGGGAGTGAAGAAACACAAAACAAAAACAATGCAAAGCAAAGTGATCACTACTGCACATCACTTCAAGGGGGAAAAAAAAACAACCTAAAAACAAACACATCATTCAAAGTATTTTTTGAAATATAAAAAATGTGTCTTTCATCAAGAGTAATACTAGTTTTCTTCCTCACAATCTTGCAAGATGTTTTTGTTCCACTTATATTGTTAGTGGTGATCAAATTAAGAGAAATGATCCTCAAAAAGTTATGGCTATGGACCTCATATTCACTCATATCTAACATCACATGCACAGGTGGGATGAATTTAGATGCTTCCAGTATTGTCTGCTCTGTCTTTAGCACAGTTACACAAAGTTTTGCAGAGCATCACATGTGAAGATGTATATGCTATGTGCAATTCAAATATAATAGCTGTACTTGCAGGGTGGGTTAGCAGACAATTATTAAGGATATGTGGAAGGAGAAAGTCTACCCCTCTGTAGCAGAGATTCAAATGCACCTATTCCAGAATCCTCTATTTGTCATTGTGTTGTGAGATTCTGGTTTGTAAAGCGTGAAGTTTCATATGCCTACAGTTTATAAATTAGCTTTCATTTCCATAATTTAAGCTGGTACACATTATTAAAGGAAGCATGACAGCAGTATAAAAATCCTGATTAGAAAGATCCAACTAGAGGATCTAGAGTAGACTTTTTAATTTCTGAAATTAAATTTGCGTGACTTCTGTGACACAAGAATAACACCCACTTCATAATTATTGCCCCTAATGCCCCAACGTGCAATAGTCAGTAATTCTATTGTGTGAATCAGTAATTCACATCCTTTAAAAATAGTTATTGCTTAAGCAAGCTATTCAGAGTAGATATGGGCTGTGTGGCTGGATAGAAACACACTTGGAAAGTTAAATACATGGGGATAAGCCTTTTGTTTTACTCATAAACCCACATAAATTCACAATCAAATGGGGCAACAGGTTCATAGCAGCTAATACCCTAAACCAACTCTGGAGCATCAAGACTTGATTTCTTACTTAAATCTGCCTCCCCCCCACCCCCTTAAAATTAAGGCAATGAAATGGCTACAGTTCCTAGAAGTTCTTTTTATGGAACAAAAATATACACATATTTTCCTCAAGTTCAGGCATCAGAGTATGATTAGAGACCTGTATTAATTACACAAAACCTGTAACATGGGTTGATGAGAGAGAAAGAAGAGAGTGAGAGACAAAGAAGAGAATAAAGAGTGTGAGAGAATGAGAAAGAACATCAACTAAAAAGAATCCAACAAACATTTGGTGATTTTTTTTTTCCTGCTCAATCACAAACCTAATTATCAAAGGGAAGAAACATTGAAAAAACACAAAACCTCTTAAAGAGTTTTCAATGTCTCTTGCATTGATTCAAAACTTTTGGGGTGATGGAGAGGAGGAGCTTACTAAATTGCAGACCCCAAGGTCCAACCACCAGATTCTGACTAAAGGTTTATGGTTGGGCCCAAGACTCTTCCTTTTCACCAGATCCTCAGAAGGTGCAGGTGGTCTATGGACAACATTTTGAGAAACATTGCCTAGAACACATCCACCTAATATTTAATTACAAAAACTCTAAACTTTGGCTAGCCACTTATGCTTTGATAAAAGGGGAAAAGGCACTGGATATGTATTTCTTGGTGCCCATATCTGTTTGCACATATATGGAATTGCATTTTGAAAAATTGAAGTCACCATTTAAAATCTAGAAGACATGTATGTGACAGCTTGTGGCTAACACCTAACAGCAGAAGCTGATTCAAAGTTGACCTCTCCTGTTTCACTGCATTCCATATTGAAGTTTCAGGCTCTCCAAAATCCAAAATGGCCAAAAGAACTGAGGAACAGGACAAGACTCATGTCAACTTTCAGCAATTCAGTGCACTTTGCAGAAAGGATCTATATTAAGCATAGAGTTTTGTTGTTTATTTTACACAAAGGAGACCACCAACATTTGCCATAAATTCTTCTAAACTCTTTAGGAAGGACATCTTCTGCTTCCGATCCAACGTAGGAGGAGTGCTGCTTGCAGTGAGCTTGTTGAAGGCATCTGCTAATCTCTGGTAAATAACTGGGTCTTGTTGACTTGACAGTAATGTCTCAACCAGTTCAGAATATTCAGCCTGTGGAAAAGACAAGATGCCCATAAGAATGTATCTTCCTAAGAGTATCACAAACATGACTGTGTCAGTTACTGGATGGGTTCTAAGAGGTAAAAGCTGACAACTCAATGCAATCTAGTTCCAGATCCATGTAATTACCAACTTTGTATTATTGCCTCTTCTGTGTTTTCAAAGCACATTATTCATATTTACTTTTATTTTATACAAAACCTAAACTGTAATATGGCTATGAATAGTTCCCCAAAGTTGTATAGAGACAACTTGTCAATCCAGTTCTGAGGATAGTAGACACATACAGTGCTACATCAGGTGTCTGGGAGCACAAGCATGGTGGAGAAGTGTTTCAGAGCTTTCTCAAAGGTGAAGGCAGAGCACTTTGAAAGCTACACATCAGCACTGTACCTAACAGCTCTTCAAGAAAAGGCAGGAAAAGGACTTTCATGAGTACAGGAATATGGAGTGGTGTTTTCTATTTTTAATATCCTGTCTTATACAGGGGATGGGAATGGGTATGGGTTTAAGGGAAATGTTCCCGGGACAGACATAAACTCTAAGAAAGGTGGTCTGCTAATTTTTTTCATTAGCTTCTTGGGATATCATAACAGACCAAAACAGTGAAACCAAATGTTAACTGCATGTGAAAGAGGAATAGAGTGCAGCATCCCAGCCCTCCCCCTAAAACACAGAGACAGGATGGCTGTCCTAAGAGCCTTCTCCAAGAGATAGGCCTGCTCAGAGGGGATCAAGTATAATTGTCAAATCATTTCCCTACTTGTAAGAATGATTTGACATTATATATATATGGAGCCAGGCCAGCAGGGGATTCTACTAGCTATTCCTAACTCCCTGTTCTCTTTTCAAAACAGTATAAACATGTTAAAAACAAAAATCAAAAAGGACACTAAAGCAACCAGAGAGAAATGGCTTATACATGTGGGGACAGAAGGCCTATCTTTCTAGTAAGCATCAAGGAAGTCAAATTTCAGAGAAAGGCCACACAACTGAGTGCATATTATCAGCAGCAAGTAGCCACTAGAGCAGAGTGCAAGAAATAAGGTCCTAGAGCAACTTCATCTTTGGGTGTAGGTGGCACAGGAAGTCTAAAGGAAGAGGTTTTAAGTATATGAACCTCCCCTAAATTCTACCTTTTCTACAAAGCATAATAAAATGCAAAGTTTCTCTAGCCAATCATTTGGCCATGCTGGGAGGTGTACTTGTATATGAGAGGGGAGTAAATTGATGAAGTGCACAATCCAACAGGGTTCTTATATACTGAGGGACACCTACTATATCAGAATAAGGAACAGAGACAGGTAAGCAAGCCTAACTTCTTTTGTTACATTAATCTCAGATCAGTGATGCTTCAGACCTTAAGCATTCAACAAAATAATCTGCTCTTTTCTACAACATAAAACAAGAATAATATGCCGTTCTTTATACTTTATGAAGGCAAACTTCTCCTGGTCCCTAATTTTATTCATCTTGTCTCTCATAAAATTTTAGTTCCTCAAAGTATTCATTATTCATTCATGTTTATGTTCCTGGCTCCCTGTATAGTTGTTTAAGGACAAGCTTTGGAGTGTTAACTGTTATAAAGGATGACTCACAACAGTGGAGAAAAATGCTTCTGAGCTGACAAACAGTTTGCCAGATAAACACAAAACAAAAAGCTTAAAAGTTATTAAGGAAGATAAGAAATACTGCCTCACTGAAATATAACTGCAAGTCTGAGTCACTGATCCTGTAAGTATTGAGGTGTTGATAACCCACCATCTTTCTAACAAGAAGAATCCCCTGAAGAGAGGCATGTCCAGTACCTGATGTAAACACACCAAAGTGTAGAAAGCTTCACCAGCTGCAGTGGTCATCTCTGTGTTGTGCTTTTGCAAAACCAGCATGTCAAAAACCAGCTGAAATTACATAATAGGACTTCTAAATGTTTTTTAAAAAAACATTGTAAATACTTGTCGTGATAGCTGAATTATCAAATTCCCCATTATATTTACCATTTCAATTTTTAAGAATACAAAATGAAAGTGGATGAAAACAATATGTCCCTGAAGAACTGATCTCAAAAAAACCCCACCATGAAAAGAAAGTATTTCCTCTTCTCTGAAAAATTATGTACACTGACTATACTTATCAAAGTGGATGACTTTTCATGAAACATCTTACCTTAAGAAAGTGCCGAGTTGCTAGAAAAAGTGGTGAATCTGTTTCTTGTGCTTTTGCGCACTGTTCAGCTAATGGTGTCAGGGCCTCCAGGCAGAGCTGGCAAACCTCTGAACTCATTCTGATCATGAAGGTCAAAGAAAAAACTAGATTGAAATAACTCAGTTACAAAAGATTTAAAAAAAAAAAAAAAAAAAAAAAAGCCAGTATCAAATACATGACTATTTCTAGAAATGAATACAGATGTTTGTGCAGATCAGTATGCAATATATCTTAATTGAGTTATAAAGGAAAGACAATTTCCAGTATTTTTAGATGACCCATAAGAGTTTAATCTGGAGGTGGTGATGTTTAGTTCATTTCTGCTTAAGACACATACAAGTGTTAAGAAGTCATATTATTCTGTATCATCAGGGGGCTAAGACTAAAACTCCAGCAATAACACATGACATTGCTAATGGGTTCTTAATGAAGGAGTAACAATGGGATGAAGGGCCAATTGCCTTAGGATTCTATGTAAAGAGAACAGGATTAGGCAAATTAACAAAAGAAACACAAAATTAGAGCAGTTATAGAGATGACAGCTTTTTTTGAGATAAAACTAAACCACAAAATAAAAATAGAAAACAAATTTAAAGAACTTTTCTTTAAGTAACTACCATCTTTCCCCCAAGTGAGAATAATGTTCATTTTAAAGGATACGATGTCATTCCTAGTTCTAGGGAGTACATCAGACTTTTAAAAAGATCCTCAGGAAGCTGTGGTATTTTTTCAGGAAAAATCTCACAAATAAATGTGATTAATTTGTAGTATTGATTACAAAGTGTTGGAAACTGAAAAAAGAAATTAGATATGTAGATGCTCAATAGTATCTAATTTTTATTTTCATTAATGTAGTAAAATAACTGACAAACTTTTACTGCACAATGACTTCTTTAAAACGTACAAAATACAGAAAACAGGAAAACCTAAATAAATGTAAAAATATACGTTATAATAAAGGCAATATTTTACTAATTACTAAGCAAAAAAGTAATACATAGTAGAAATAATTATATTCTAGATTGTTAATAAAAGCTATAGTCAATTCCAGATAGTCTATGTTTACTTTGAACAACATCCTTATTCTTCTGGTTCCTTGCCTTCCAAACACACTTCAATCTCTATTCTCTTCCTTCCTACTATTACTCTCTCATCCCTTTAATCTCATGCGCATACATACCCCCTCTCCTTCCTTATCCTTGTCCTTGCCCTTATCCCCCCATGATAACTCAGGATAAAAGAGACTGACCCTTTCTTATGGTACTTAGGTAAGAAAAGGTCAGTCTTATCTACACAACACCTAGTACTGACTGGTGAAATCCAGGTCCAATGGAATCAAGAAGTGTAAAAATTTTATATTACATTAGTCTTGGTTTCTTACCATCCCATTTTTACATAGAATAGCTTGGAAAATGCCCTCCTTTTCTCAATCCTTCAGCCTGAGAATAATGTTCAAAAATACAAAGACAAATACTGAGGGAATCAAAACTGCAAACAGAAATGTTTTTTTCTAGGACATTTTTTTTCTGTAGCACTCCCTGACAAAATGTGTCACTAATGGACCAGGGCATACACACTCTAGAGCCTGTGTTACTAAGAAGTAAGCATAAGTCACTCTAACAGAAATGCAATCATTTTATTTTCATGTACACTTAATTAAGTCACAGGTATATTAATGTCTAAAGTATTTTTTTTTTATTGGTTGTTCAAAACATTACAAAGCTCTTGACATCAATGTATAGTATTAAAGTTCACATTTTGTTGCTTTAATTACCTTCAAAAGATCCTGTGACATCAAGGGCAGAATTAGGTTGACCCCATATAAAACAACATCAGCTGCTGATACAGATCTGTTTGCTGCTTGACCCGGCTCATGTCCTCTAAACACTTCATCTATTAAAATAGAAAAAATGCAGTCTTACAGATATAAGATCATTAAATCTCCGAAGTTCATATTCTCTTTATGAAAATAAAAATAAATTCAGGCCCTTTAGTCTAAATACATTCATGAGTTATAATAAAAGTAAACCTAACGCTTACTTAATAAGCATTACTTACCTAATGCTTACTTAATCTAATAAGAATATAAACAAATTCATACAGACACTTGTCCACAGAAATGCTTAATACATTAATATTTATAAGAGCATAAATGTAAATATTCCAGATGTCCAATATTAAGGAACTAGGTTAGATTCTAAAATGTGGAATATCACACTGCTATTAAGATGTCATGACAATTTTAATGAGAAGGGGCTGGGGGCAAACACTCAGTAATAGAATGTTTGCCTAATATGTGTGAGGCCCTGGGTTCAATCCCCGGTATCAGGAAATTTTTTTTTTTTTCTTTTAATGACCAGGAAAAGGTTAACACTCATCAAAAAAGTAAAGCCAGGTACAAAGGCACACACCTGTAATTCCAGCTACTCAGGAGGCTGAGGTGAGAGGAGTGCTAGTTCAAGACCAGCCTAGGCAACTTATTGAGAACTTTTCTCAAAATAAAAAGGTCTAGGGCAGAGCACCCTTGGATTAAATCCCCAGTACAGAAGGTGGGGAGGAAGGCAGAAGTTAAAATTATATTTACAGCATGACTGCCAATGAAATTCTACAAAAAAAAAAAAGGAAGAAGAAGAAGAAATTCCCCAAAATGCAACATACAGTTAATTTATTCTGGATACTATTAAAAAATATGGATGATTTTCCTTTCTCTTTACTTTAAAGGTAAAATGATAAGATTCTTTTTCAAGTAAAAACAACTTTTTTCAGTCTAATTCTGAACTTTCTCTAAGAATCTCAATTCTGCTTGAAAAATCCCATTTTCCAAAGCACATTTTTGGAAAAGTTCAGCAAATGTTTTCTGAACATCAGATTGGTCTATTCCATCCAAGGAGATTTGGCTTGCCCATCAGTTCCACGTCTCTCTGAGCTGCAAAGGCTGACCTGAATGAGCTGAATAGGACTCTCAAGTGCTCTGGTAAGGAGACAGGAATGCAACTCAAGCATCCAATTAATGAATAATGTCAGACACCCACTTCCAGTTTTCCTTTAAATATCTCACTTCAGCATGTTTGGTTCCCTTTTTTTCTGATACTGGGGATTGAACTCTGGGACACTTAACCACTGAGCTGCATTCCCAGCCCTTTTTATTTTTCATTTTGAACAAGGTCCTAAGTTGCTTGGGGCCCTGCAAGTTGCTGGGATTATAGGCATGTATCACCATGCCCGGCTTACATGTTAATTTTTTAAATATCTAAAATTTTATATTTTGTTTTAGCTATCTATAATCTTCATTTTAAAAATAATAAAATATTATCTTCCTTTGTATCATCTATTTTACCAGGTAATGCTGTTTCTTTAAAATTTTCTGTTTTAACAGTCTTATTTTGGTTTCTTTTAAATTTCAACCCATACATCCTTATTTAATTCTTTTCACCCCATTTTTATATTTTACCCTTATTTTGTTCTTTCTACCCTGGGCACTCTGGTGTCGATTTCTTTATCTTTTATTTTGACTTTAATCTTTTTCTAAATTTTTTTTTTTTTTTTAGTGGTAGATGGATACAATATCTTTATTTATTTATTTTTATCTGGTGCTAAGGATCGAACCCAGTGCCTCACACATGTGAGGCAAACACTATACCACTGAACTACAGCCTAGCCCTTAATTTTAATCTTTTAACTGCTTTTATTTGGTAAATCTCTTTCTCAACTGCTTAACTTTCTTGTTTGCTCTACAACCTTTTCTCAGCATGGTGACATGAGGAAGTGCAGCTACACTGTAGTCTGAATGATAGAGAGGGTCTTTGCCCTCCAAATGCCTTTAGTAGTTCTACTATTTCTTTCAATAGAAACTTTGCAAAATATACCACGTATTAGTCCTGGAAGATTCCCAGGTCAAAAATCTTTCCAAAAATGCCAATGGCTTTCCCTTCATTGGAGGTATAAGCCCTACAGGATTCAGGAAAGTTAGTACAGAAAGTGTGCTACTCAAGAGAAGATCTCAGAAGGTGCACTTGGGGAAGGATTCTTCATCCACACTCCAGTGAGGAAACAGTGTCGGTTTCCCAGAGAGGCAAGAAGAAGAGGAGACCCAGGGCCGAAGTTGTGGCTCACTGGTAGAGCACTGGGTTCAATCCCCAGCACCACATTTTTTTTTTTTTAAAGGAATAGATCCTACAAACTGGCCAGAGCCCTATCATTCCTAACATCTTGAAATGTTTATTTCTATTATAATTCCTCACTGGCCAGTGCTGGGGATCTAATATATTATATAAGCAGGTATGAACATGATGGAATTATTATTCTGGGAAAGAACATAATATTACCTTCCAGATAAGGCAGCACATCTAAAATGTCTACGGAACTTTCTTAAAATGTAGACTTCTCAAGTTAATAGGATGGACCTGATAGTTTCAGTCAGAACTGGGAACCTAGAAACTGATAATCATTCTAGAAATGAGAAATCTGAAATAATGAGCTGATTTATGAAATATAGGGGTACCTGTGACAGTAAATCATCTAACTGCACAAATGGTTTAATACTGGGTCACAGCTCCTTCTCAGCACAGTTCTTAACTCAGTACAGTACTTAAGCCTCCAAGAGGCAACAAACGCCCTGTAGGATGGTATAATGCACACTATTTGAGGGAGAGGCACTTTTGACCTGAAAAAGGTTTAACACCCTGAGACTGTGAAGCACAAACCAAAGGACTTAGAAAACATGGGAACGGCTGTTGCATGAGGTCCTGGGACAAAATGAAAAGAATTTGCTAAGGCAAAGTTTGGACAGTGCTTTTCAAACCATTTCACCATATTACCCATGGTTAACTTGAATAAACCTCCTAGACAGTGAACTTTGACAGTGTCTAGTACAGGACACATACTGGGAAAACCATGGTTCATTGAAGAAGGAGAATGACCAGAAAAGGAAACAGAGTAAGAACAACCTCAAAGATTGAGTGCAATGACTTAATTGGGGTGTTATAGCACTAATTTAAGAGACTCTTGAAAGGGAGAAGCCAAAAAGTCTACTATCACAAATGTCTGTATAACATAAACAACATAATGCTAGATATGGTTTGTTTCTCTTATAAAATAAGTTCTAGTTACCTTAAAGATAAGCTTGACAGTGGGGTTAAGCAGCTGGGTGGGGGTAGATTTTACCAGTCAATAAAGAAAACAAGCAGGCTAACTGACTGTCCTCTTGTCATGTTATTAATGAGCTATTAAATTTAAGTGGCCTGTCAATTCTAGAACTCAGGGTTTTGCACTCCACTAGGGTTTCCCAAACTACACTCTACAAAGTGCTAGGTTTGTTGGGATGCCCACTTCAGAGGATACAGAGAAGTCAATAAAACATAACTCTGAAGAAACTGGAGTCTATGGTCACCTGCTGGGTTTTAAAATTGAATCCCAAATTACTACCTAAATACCTATGAGTAAGTGACTTAACCTCTCTATGCTTCTATTGCCTCCTCTTTAAAGTGAGAATAACAAAAAATGTTGTCTACTTCATCCTATGTGAGAAGAACAGGGCCTGATATTCAGTAAAAACTCAAAAAAAAAAAAAAAAGGCATATATACACAATGGAATATTACTCAGCACTAAAAAATAATAAGATCATGACATTTGCAGGGAAATGGATGGCATTAGAGCAGATTATGCTAAGTGAAGTTAGCCAATCGCTAAAAAACAAATGCCGAATGTCTTCTCTAAGGGGGGTGACTCAAATGGGGAAGAGAGGAAGAGCATGGGAAGATTACCTCTACATAGGGAAGAGGGGTGGGAGGGAAAAGGAGGGAGAAAGGGAATTGCATGGATGGTGGAAGGAGACCCTCATTGTCATACAAAATACATGTATGAAGATGTGAGACAAAAAAAAAAAGAATAGCGTTACCCTACATTAGGTAGAGAAAAGTGATGGGAAGGGTGGGGAGGGCTGGGGAGATAGGAAGGATAGTAGAATGAAACAGACATTATTATTACTATGTATATATATGTGAATGCATGACCAATGTGATTCTGCAACCTGTATAATCAGAAAAATGATATTATACCCCATCTGATTCAAATGTATGATATGTCAAGGTCAGTGTACTGTCATGTGTAACTAAGTAAAACAAAGAAAGAAAGAAAGAAAGAAAGAAACCCTTTTTTGGAGATGGTGTTTGGAAACTATGTTGCCCAGACTGGCCCAAAACTTCTGGGCTCAAGTAATACTCCTGCCTCAGCCTTCTGAGTAGCTGGGACTACAGGAAAGCACCACTAGCCCAGCTGAAGACATTATTTTTATAAGAGGAAAGGCAGCAGGAAGGCTTGGTCTTTACCCTCACTTCAACAAAAGATATCTACTTTAATTTGTTTTGTAAACTGAACTTCAAGGGTTTTCACTTCAAACAATTTTTTGCTTTAATAAAAACAATAATCACAATCAAGTTTAAAAACCATCACACTATACTTTACCTGTGTCACTGAAATCTATGAATTCTTTTGACAGAAGGTTAGTAAGAAGTTCCATAATGAGAAGCAGGTCTTGGTACTGTTCTTCTTCAGCAGTAACATCTATTCTTTGCCTCCCTAAATTATTCTTAGAATATACTTGCAACAAAGTAAGGCAGGCTTCATATAAGTTCATAGCTTTGGACTGTAAGAAAACAAGCACAAATTATTCTATTTGGTAGAATCTAGCTGGGAAATAAGTAGAGAAGTTTAAATTTACTCTGAATTCAAATAGTAGCTATGATACTTGTTTAAATGTTGAAACATTAACAGTAACAAAAAAACATATATTAAGAATACAATGATATTTAAAATTTAGCCTTTTTCTAAAAAATTTTAGGGCAAGTTATATTATTAGACATGACTTCTCTGAATCATGAATTCTTTTTAAAAGTTTTCCTGAAGGATTTTTTGGAAAAATAAATTTATTTTAGAAAACATGCATCAATACATTATTGGAGCTTTGAAGAGTTTTAATCCTGAAGGGATAAAAACTAGAAAGTGCTCACCTCTCCAAGATAGCATATCTGTTTATGTGCAACTTCAACAAAAACTTCTATAATGAGATTGACAGTCTCTGGGGTATTTTTGTAAACTTCCATCAACCCAATGCAATTGGTAAGGAAGTCCATTAAAAAATTAAAAAGAATGGCTACATTGTCAATCTGGGTAGCCTCAGCAATGCCACAAAGGGCCTCCAGTGTAGCAGTGATTTCCTGCTTGATTTCCTCTTGCTGACACATCTGCTGAAAGTTTTCTTGGTTTATCACTCTTAAGAATCGCTGCTGAAGTGGCTGAAGAACCTATAAAAGTACAGCATAAACTTTCTAAACACGCTTTATTTAGTTCCTCAACTTGGATCAATATTTAGTTTCCAAATGATTTCTAATTATTGGAGGCAGCTCAAGCACAGAAAGTAAGGAATATATATACACACTACATTCTGGCATACACAAAGAAATGACACCCAAGTCATGAAATATCAGTTTTTCAGTACCATTCACAGAACTGTGCAATTTCATTCCATCTCTTTTCAAAGGATTAGCAAAAACATTTTTAAAAAAGATAAAAAGTTAAGACTTTACGGGGGGGGGGGTCAGCAAAGTTTTTTATATAAAGGGTCAGAGTAAATATTTCAGATTGCACTGTGTGAAGTACAGAGCCATAGAGAAGATGTAAACAATTATTTCAATAAGACTTTGTTTATAAAAACAGGCCACATTTCACCTATGGGCTGCAGTTTGCAAACCTCTGTTCTAATGAGCACCCAACACAAAGCTCTTGCCTGCTCTTTCTTTCCCTACTCTTCTTAGCATAGAACACTAACTCCAGATCCTAAATCTTGTACTGTAAATATAAGTACTCACATTCATGGGAACAGTATCTTAATTCCATATGATACAATTATTTAAACTAGAAACATACAGTCTGTGACCTCTGACTTCCGAGGTCACACACAACTGTTGCTACTGTGCCCCTTCTCAGAAATTAAGAGCACTTTAGACACAAGGACTACAGGTCAATAATGTACATACACACCTAAGCCCTAATTCAAAACTTATTATATATAATATGTCCATGGTGGTTGTTATGAATTGAACTGTGTCCCTTAGAAATTCCTATGTGGAAATCCAATTCTCAAGCACCTCAAAATGTGAACTTATTTGAACAAAGAGTCATTGCAGATGTAATCAGTTAAGATGAGATCACACTGGAATAGAGTGGGCTCCTAATCCAATATAACTGGTGTTGCATCAAAGGGGAAATTTGGATGTGGATGCTCACTTAAGAAGAATACCATGTGAACACAAAGACAGATCAGGATGATGCATGTACCTATGAAGGAACGACAAAGATTGCCAGCAAACTACCAGAAAGTATAGATTCTTCCTTAGAGCCCTCAGAATGAACCAACCCTGCTGATACCTGATCTTGAACTTCCAGACTCCAGAATTATGAGACAATAAACATCTATTTTTTAAGCTACCAAGTTTACAGAAGCCCCAGAAAACAAAGTGGTTAATTTGTGTCTGTTTGCTCAAGACAAGAAAACATTTCACCAATTTTTAAAAAAATATTTATTCTTAAGTTTTAGGTGGACACAATATCTTTATTTCACATTTATGTGGTGCTGAGGATCAAATTCAGTGCCTCATGCATGCTAGGCGAGCGGCTCTACCACTGATTCACAAACCCAGCCCCCATTTCACCAATTTTTATGTCATAATTCAATCTTTCCCCCAATGCTGGGGATCTAACCCACAGCTTCATGCATGGTAGGGAAGTTCTCTGTTGTTGAGCCACACCCCCAATCTTAGATTTTAAGTTTAGACCCTGATTAGGCTTGGGAAAATATGCCTAAAATATAGAACATTTGATAATATTCAATGTTTCCACATAAGCAGGTATGGACAAATGATAAAATTGAGTTATTTGTCAAGTAATAAGCTTCAACACATTCACTAGAGGAAAAAACATCAAAAAAAGCTATGACTGAAATATTTGTATCCCCATAGACCATAGATACATAGATAAAGCAACTACAGAGTTACATGAGAGGGTGCAATTAAATTAGAGAGAACTATTACCTCTGTCCAATATTGTTGTTTGGTTTCTGTATCCATATGTGCAAAACCCCCTAAGACAAGAGCCTTCATCAGTGTCCTCTGCACAGGACTTGACAAGAAATTAAGAGGGGGACTGCGGCTTGCAAACTGCTTAGCTAGGTTCCACCAGTTTTCACACTGAATTACTAAGTTTGCCCTTTGGGTAGAAATAATAAAACATATATTACTTTCACATATATTAAGAAAATGAAAATTAAAGATAATTGGATTTTTTTTTTTTTTTTTGAGGTGGGGATCTCACTATATTGCTCAGGCTGGTCTTGAATTCATGAGCTCAAGTGATCCTTTTGCCTCAGCCTCCCGAGTAGGTTAGGCTATAGACATGCACAACTACAACCAGCTGGAATTAATTGATCTCAATCAATTTTATAATCCGAAAAATATGGATAATAATAGTTACAGCAACCTTCAATCTCACGCTGACTGATAACTGAGACTGATACTGATTAAGTGAGATACCACATATGAAACTCTTAGGACAATATTTAGCAAATTATAAGAATTTGATAAATAGTAGCAACGGCAAGAGTATTGCCAACAATAATAATACTCATGTACAGAAAGAAAAATTAAAGTATTTTCAGAATTGCTATAGAAAGCACTAGAGTTTAAGTATCAGGTGTTCTCATCTTTAAAGTTGGAAATAATGCTAACAGGATAACTGAAAAAAAAATGAAGTGAGAATATTCTACACTCAAGTGTTTTTTAAAAACTATAAATTACTAATAAGACTTATGTTACTCTTAAGGTTCTCCGATGCCAAATCTTTGAACAGTCAATGCAATCTTCAATTATAACACAAGAAAGCCCCATCTACATTTGTTGAGATAGCATGATAACAGCTTAAAAAAAAAAAAAAAAAACCTACCATAAAAAATGTAGCATCTATCTGGACTTAGACCTGCAAACTACTCCCACACATACACCCCCATGGCATGAGTGTCTGTGTGCGTGCATGCACTGCCCCCCAGGCTCTCCAACAATGGGTTTACCTTTCTCTTCTTTCCACCAAAGTGACAAGGAGCTGCACAGTATCATTTGCAAGGTCTTGCTCACTACTCCAGACTGAGAGGTTACTGATGACTTTTTGTAAGAGGTAGCCAATAATCCACTGAGAACCTTCCGTATCTGCTCCAAATGCTGTACTGAATGGCAGACTTATCTTAAGAGAGAAAACAAATGTTGTGAGATCAGAAATATCAATCATCTGAAAAAATAATCCACAGAAAAACTGAGTCTAAATCCAAAGTAGTGCTTATTCACATTAATTTTATAAATTATTAATTTCTTAAGTCCAAAAAGACATTCTCAATTCACTCTTTATTTTCCACACTATAATGAATATATTACTCAATTTCCAAATAGCAGTCTGTTATCTTTTTGTTGTGGTGGTTGTACCAGAGATTGAACCCAGGGATGTTTAACCTCTGAGCTACATCCTCAGCCTTTTTCATTTTTTTGAGACAGGGCATCGCTAAGTTGCTGAGGCTGGCCTTGAACTTGCAAACCTCCTGTCTCAGACTGCTAAGTCACTGAGGTAACAGGCATGTGCCACTGTGCCCAATTTTGTAATTGTATCTTAACACTGGTAAAATAAATAAACTAATAATGAATGTGCTCTAAGAAAAGCCACAAAATAGCAGTAGAATTCTCAGCTGTCTTCAGTACAGAAAAATGTTCCAATTCCATTTTGATGAGAAAAATCAATAAGAAAAATGTTCTCACTTTTATAACTATCATCATAAATCCAAAGGAAGTGTAGAAGTTTTACATTCTGACCTGATCATACAGTTTTTCATCCACAAGGAGATAAGTCTTGGCCCAGCGTTTTAGAAACCAAACAATATCTTTGCCCATTTGAGGGCTTAGTAGGTGAGTGAGATCTGCTCTTATTGCTCGAGATTCAACTTCTGAAACTCTTAGAACAGCAGACAATAGCCTGTAGGTATAAAACAGAAGTCATTTATTCTTTTATTGTTTCAGAGGTTGTCTAATTATATTTTTTTCTTAAAAGTCCATTTTTATTCTCAAGTCTCTGGGTTTAGGCCAGTAAATACTTGAAAATATCATCAACTGGATTGTAGACAAATGCTTTACAATATTTCTAATGAGAATGACAAAGTTGGAGACAAGATAAAGAAAAGGAAGAAAGTCAACACTAGAGACATTATTGCACGTGCAAATCTCAGCATTACTGTCTAAAGATGAAAAATGGAGAAATATATAAAATTAAATGTTCAGAGTGCATGCCAAATTCTTTCAGCATTCCATCACTATCTAAAACTCCTTCGGTAGGCACAGCATGTGATTTTATACCATAAAACACAAGATCTGTTATGGTATAAGATCTGGAACTGACTCCTCTAGAATGTCTGCAGTACCAAGCCTTATTTCCAAATCTGATAGACCTCAGTTTCCCATTAAACGTGATTCCTAATAGTATTTTAAAATAAGAATCTTGCTATAAAGATTACATAAGTGCATATATTTTCTTTGTCCCCGATACATAATTCATATGGCCAAGAGGTGTCAATAACATAGTATGATATTTAGGTAAGTAAAAATGTCTTTGTTCTGGGAGTGCAAGATGGGCACATGTCATATATATGTTTAACTTGACTTTAGCCAAAAGGCAAAGATACAATAAAATAACTTATTATAATACATTTAATAAATACTAAATAGCAATATTGTGAATCTAATCAGAGGTTTGGTCTTTGCTCCTTTCCTCACCACTCTCAAGACTGAAATCTTTGGAATGAAATCAGATGAACATGTTTCCAGCTTCAATGTCTCAGAAGTACTAGATGATGCTGACCACTCTGTCCTTTTGAGAAAACTCCTTCCATTGGCTTCCCCAGCACCACATTTTCCACATCCCCCTTATCCATCTGCTCACTCTTTCCTATTCTTTAATGGCAGCCTCCTCCTTTTAAGTCAGAAGGTTTGTAAGGTTCTATCTTAGAACCTTTTCTTTTCTCACTATCCATGAACTCCTTATACAACAGTGCTCAAACTCTCAAAATTTATTTTAGGGGGTAGGTAAACAAAATATTCCAATAACCTCATTATTTCATTTATGTTAATATACCAAAATTTCCCCATAAGATTAAATAATTTGCCAACACAGTGGCTGAGGAGAATCGCGAGTTCAAAGTCAGTCTCAGCAAAAACAAGGCACTAAGCACCTCAGTGAGACCCCAAATAAATACAAAATAGGACTGGGGATGTGGCTCAGAGGTTGAGTTCCCCTGAGTTCAATCCTCATTATCTCCCCGTGTCCCACCCCCAACAACAACAAAAAAAGATTAAATAATTTTAGATCATTTCCAGCCTACCAGAATTCTAAATAAATGATTACATTAATACTATATGTTTATATACTAGAATTCAATCAGTCTTCTTATAGCTAACACCATCTATTTAAAATGTGAACAAAATTTTCTTTCACTTCCAATTCCCTATAGAACATTATCCTAATATAATAAATATATATGCTATATTTGCTGATCATACTATGATACAACTGTCTAGGCTAACACAGTAGTGTTTTCTTTCCCATGTATCTCTGAATAAATATTACTTATTACCAGGATAAGCCACCATTGAACACAATTTGGTTTGTATTTTTCATTTTAATGGATAGAAAACAGTGAAAAAACTTGTTCATATTAATAAAAAGAAGGTATTTTTAAAACTGCAAGGTCACCCAATTATTTGAATTTCTTCTAAAGGTATATGACAAAAATCACAGAGATCTACCATCAAAAATTATTTTAATAATCTCTTAGCTGACACTAGATTAGGTCCTATTCAATATTACATAACGCAATGGGATAAACTTCCTAATTGTACACTCATTCTAATAAACACTGCACTATTTGCACCTGCTCCTTTATTTGGCACTCTGTGATCTTTTATATACCTGCCAATCCCCACAGTAAAGTCAGAATGAGAGAGCGTCCACCTTTCTTTTGTCAAGTAGAAGAAAGGTGAATAACCTGTAATCCCAGCAGCTTGGGATGCTGAGCTGGGAGGATCATGAATTCAGAGCCAGCCTCAGCAACTTAGCAAGGCCTTGAGCAACTCAGTGAGACCCTGTATCTAAATAAAATATAAACAGGGCTGGGGATGTGGCTCAGTGGTTAAGCATCCCTGGGTCCAATCCCTGGTACCAATAAATTAATAAAAAGATGGACAGACAGACAGACAGCAGCTCAGGCAGTGGTCTGGCAGACAGAGGGGAGCCCCAAGTGCATTCTTTCATCCTTTCTATCTCCTCTCCACCACATCCAACAATTAGCATATTCCTGGGAGCTCATTCAGACACACCTCTCAAACCCAAGCGACTTTTTCTACCTTCACTCCAAAATACTAACAAAATGCTTCCCAATTTGCTGTTATCCTTTAACTCTATCTTCCACAGAACATCACCTCTAAACAACTGGATAAGTTCACTTATCTATTGCAAATCCTTTCCCCCAGTTTCACTCCTACCTTATGAGCCCACCTATAGCACCCTCCCTGCCTCAACCTCATCTCACTCATCAGGACCAGTGCTCCTCCCATCACATTCACACACTAGCCACACCAAGTTTTCTCTCTCCTCACCTTTGCTTCTTGAGCACTGTTTGCCTTCCTTTCATTCTGCAAGTAGAAGTCCCCTGCCAGTAGACTAGGTACATACAAGTGTTCCTATACACTTTATTATATCCTCAGATCCCATCATGATGGGGAATTGAAGACACTACTGATCAAAATATCTTCTATTTTTGCTATTCCAAGATTAATACCCCAATTCTACTTGAGTTCCTTAAGAATGCTATCTGAAAATACTGTATATTCTAGACAGCACTCAGTTTCCTAAATCAATCCTGGATTACATTTCCATTTCACAAACTAAAAGTCAACACAATAAATCAGTGTTTTTAACTTTTTTCATGGTTGACTTTTCTATGGTTGATCTGATCTGGATACCATCATATCCTTGAATTACTGCAACTAGCTACATATCTGGTCTTTTCACTTTCATCATTCACTCTTGATACAGCAGAGTAATCTTTTTCACACACAAGTAATTTTCCTGCTCAAAACTGTGTAACAGCACCCCAGTTCACTCAGAGCAAAAGTGAAAGATGCTATACAGTTCTAAAGACCTTATCTAATTTTTTTCTATTTTCCCAACACCATCTCTTACAAAATTCTACTTCAGTCTGCCTAGTCCACAATGGCTTTCTTGCTGTTCTCCTTGAACATGCCAGATATGCCCAGGGCATTGGTATAAGACGCTGTTCTCCTTGGAATGCTTATCCCCCAGACATCTTTATGGTTTCCATACCATCCTCAAGTCTTTGCTCTCAAATCACCTCTAAAAAAGGCCGACGTGCATCACACTGTTTAAAACTAAAATGATCCCTGAAGTCTTAACTCCTTATCCTCCTACTCTGCTTACATTTTTACCCACAGCATTTACTGTTTTCTAATATTATTTTACTTCTTGATCATCTCTCCTTTACAGGGAGCTCTATAGGAGGAGTGAATTTTGTTTGTTTTATTACTGATATATTCCAAGCACCATTAATGACTACTACATAGTTAAGTACTCAATAATTATTTGTTAAATGGTATTTTCTTCAATAAAGCTGAACTATGTTTTTGGTAAAACAAGGAACATTTTTCCTAAACACCAGTTAATTTCACATTTAATTTTTTGGATTAAAAAAAAATGGGGACTTTTTTTTTTTTTTTAGGCGGGGGGTGCACAACCCTCCATAGTCTGTGCTCTCAGATACAAAGATGTTTTGCTCCCACACTGATACCTGGGACTGGAAAAAAATTTGAAAAAGCACTTAAAATACAAGGAAAGCACTCCTAATGGTACTACCCAGGCAAGAAATATGACAAAGAATACATGACAGCACCCTGAAATTAGTTGTCTTTGAAATTAACATTCACCATAAAACAAACCAAAGCAAAAGCACTGATTTCCACAGATACTGAATTTAAAGACTATAGTAATCCCAGAGAATGATTTAAAACTTTTCAAATAGAAAGTTTTATTTTAAAGGAAATGAATTCCCAAAGATTTCCTTGATATCAGCTTAGTAACTTGGAAAAAAAAAATCACTTTTTCTTTTGTAGAGATTTAAATGATGTCCATGATTTTTCATTAAGAAAAGAATAGAAGGGATAGCAGCTTGTTTGAGTTACTGATTTTGCAACTGAAAAAAAAAAAAAAACTAATTTGTTATCATTACTGACATCTCTGACTGTATTCTTAATTTAAATTGAAAATACTCAAATTTAAAATACTATTTTCAAATCCACTTTTAAAAGTATATTTATTTATTCCATATTTACCCCTTCTTAACGTCACCATTAAAAATTATGAAAACTTGCCATTACTATTGGGAAGACTAAAGTGAATCCTCTCTCATTGGAGGCACTATTCTACCATGTGAATCCCCCAACAGGGTCTCATTGTTTCACATATTCAAGATAAATATTTCCATTTTATAAGAAAAAAATTAGTTTTCCTTAGGAAAGCCAAAGAAATGTAGTTTTAGCTTTCGTGAACAATAAACACATATTAACGTTCACCTGGTTCCTAAGAACCTCAAATTCCTGTTTCCCTTATTAAGGGTGCCTGTACATACCTCAGTACTATTTTCTGGAGGACAAGTGCTATGTTCATAGTACATTAGACCGAATGTCTCTTCCAAATCTCCTATTTAGAGTAATTTTACATTTATTTTCTTCAGTATTAGAAATAGCTGTCAATTCCCACCACAGTGGTGTTGCCTAAATAATACTGAGTACTTGCCATCCTTGTGTATTTCAAGGCTTCTCCAAGTTTTATTTTAGTTTGTGTATCCGATTTACAGCGTGCCTATCCCTCTGTTCATCTACCCATCAACTCAAAATTTATAAAACAGTATAAATTACAAGAGCACAGCTATAGAGTTCATATTACCTAATCACAGAATCTGTTCTGTTGTACCCTGGGATGGAAGAAGCCTTTTCTCCTGGAGATCCCAAAATTTGAAGTGTTGTATTAATGTCAACTTCAGATGAATGCTTAATGGAATATTCCATTATTTCTGGAGGTATTAGCGGAGTCTCTCCCTGAGTATCATCAGCTAAGAGGTAGCCTTCAGTTTAAAAAAAATTAAAAATGAACACTTAACAAATCTACATTTACCAAATTGCACTATAAATGTTTTCAGTTTTATTTGATTTATATACATCACATAAATTGATGTAAAAGTAAATCATAACTGTTAATCTGTTAATTTAAAGTTGGTGAGAAGAAACTTTCAATTTCTCAGATTATCAACCCTCAAAAATACAAAGGACAAATGTTTTCTTCATCAATTTTATAATTCATAGTGACATGTAGGCATTTGAATGCACTACCTTTTAATAATTTTCAGTAATATTGTCTATAAAGTTAATATGATTTCTATTATTCATACTAGAAATCAATATTAAAGAATGCCTTTCCAAAAGTCAAAATTTTCCCTGATTATTTAAAATAAACACTAATAGTATGGTGGTTAAGGAAGAAAATCCTAAAAGCCAGACGGCCTACATTTGCACTCTGGCTCCAAAAATTAATAGCAATGTGACCTTGGTCTACTTTCTTATACTCTTAGCTTTTTTGTCTGTTTGATGGGGATAATGATGATGATGGTAACAGTAACAATACTTAACAGTACGATTTTGGTAGAGTATGATGAGATCCACATGAAACACTTGGTGTGCAATAGGCAATGAATACATGTTAGCCAGTATTTAAAAAAAAAAGAATACATCCAAAGCTCTGTGGCAAATAACACTATACCCAAATTTTGTCCAATATTATAAATAAACTACTGTTTTTAATATATCAAGCTTCTTTTAGAGCTTACACTGTTGACAACTACATTTTAAAAAGAAAAACTAACCAACCTGTAACTAAAATAAGCCAGTGAATATCTTCATAGAGATCATCAAGCATTTTGTTATCAATGGTGCTTGAACCAGGTGAAGCAAGTAATTGTTGCTGATGTCGCTGTAACTGACCATGGAGTCTTGTTACTCTTTCTTCTAATAAACTAAAAAAGAGGAAAAAACAAAACAATTAGCTTCATGAAGTTCAACCACAAAGATGAAGAACAATTTATAACTTCCCTATACTAGATAATATAAATTAAGATGTTAGCACAAAAAACAAATATACAAAAGTATTATAGTACACAATTGTTGTCATAGCACCATAGGAATCTAATTTACTATTTATGACACAGAAGGAAAACAATGCTTTACAAACAATCAAGGTTTACAACACGCATTTGAAAATTGGTTATTCCAACTTTTTATGATATGGGTCAAATTGTTTCTCATACCATGCTTTCCATAATCTCTCTGCCATCTATGCTGTAGTGCCTGGGCTCCAAATGTATAAGCCAAAGAATGGAATCATGAGTATGTTTCTGTCCATTGATCCAGTGTGCTGGGATACGGGGTGGGGGTGTTTAAAGTCTTTAAACACTTTAAGTGCTCTCCGGGGAATTGTGAATACAGAATATTTGCTCCATGGGGTTTCTTTGGACTGTGTGTACCTTGTCAGAAGAGGTATACAGTGTTCTGCAGCAATTCTTCCTAGCATTCCTACACTGGCTAGTTGATCAGAAAACTGGTCTCGATCATCTTCTTGAAGTTCACTTATTTCTTCTTCCTCACGAGAGGCTACACCATTGGCAGTCTATTACAGGTGAAAAGAAAAAAACAATTGAGGAACTGTACTATCTTATTCAGGATTTTTTGAGGCCCTATAAAATAGCTTCAAAACTGCATATGGAAAGAAGAGCTGGACAAAGTCAACCTTCAGTGCAGCTATCCAGGGACTCCTTTCTAACCATGGCAACAGCTCTAGTGGTTATCAAAAGAGAGGCACAACACAAAAAGATGTAGAAATATCACTCACCAGTGCATAAAATAAGCACAGCTAACTGCATACCCATAACCCACCTCCCACACTGGAGAACTTCACTTGTCAATAAAATGATCTTTTCACATTCCTGGTCCTTTGGATATAAGAAATCATTCATTAGCACTGCACAACTAGCAAGACAAAGGTAGGAAAATGAAAGATGAAAGGAGAGGACTATAAGTAACACACCCCCCTCGGCCAATATAAGAACTCATTTACACAACAAGGGCCACTTTTGCACTCAGCAAATTTTCTCAGGGGGCCTATCTTAAATGCCTAGTTTTATATACTACTTAAGATGAAACAGTCTATGATGATTCTTAATTACCGCCTGGCTTAAAACTTACCAAATTCCTTGTGCCATCTGGAGCAGCTAGGTGGCAGTGAATATAGGAATTAAAAACTTGAACTGCATGTTGGGTAAAAAAGCCTTTGTGGAAATGTTTGTCATCTTGGACCAAAGTTAGCCAGGACTCCAACAACTTATCATATGCTTCCATGTATACCATATCATCCTTATCAAGCTAAAAAAAAAAAAGAACATTCATAAAACAAATATCCAAAGAAAGAAATGGGCATCATAAAGAATCACACAGTTTATAAGTTGTTCCTTAAAAAATGATGATTCTTATTGTTTTAATTAAACTTCTAAACTTTTTCTAACTTAGTCTAAATAATTGTTAGGCAATCTGAAATTACTGTTTATTTTAGAAGACTACCTGTTCAGGACATTTTGGAGCATGTATTTTCTTTTAATTTTTTTTTAGTTGTAGTTGGACACAATACCTTTATTTATTTATTTATTTATTTTTATGTGTTACCGAGGATTGAACCCAGCGCCTGGCACGTGCTAGGCCAGCGCTCTATCACTGAGCCACAACCCCAGACCTGGAGCATGTATTTTCAAGCAAAAAGAGTCACTAACATTTTTCTAAAGTAAAGAAGAAAAAATGTGGGCCTGGGGTTGTGGCTCAGCAGTATAGTGCTTGCCTAGCATGTGTGAGGCCCTGGGTTCGATCTCAGCACCACATACAAATAAAATAAAATAAATAAAGGTACTGTGTCCAACTACAACTTAAAAAAAAAGAAGAAAAAACTGTTCGAATAAAAAGATAAAATGGGCACTTTCTACCTATTTTCTTTTCCATTTTTTTTTTTTGGATGGTGTTGGAGCTAGGTGATTCGAACATTAACCAAACCATGATGCTACACACACACACAATTTTCTGCATAGTCTTAGTGAAATTACTAAGCTTGCTATTCCTAATTTCTTTTTTCCCCATTCTTTCTTATTCATGAAGAACTGCTGTTTCGGGGTTAAAGTTTTATACCAAAATTAAACTACTAAAAATAAGGGAAAATTTTCAGAGAAACAGGTAAGAGAGATGATCCACATCAACAGGCTAATTTATAGAGCTATTTGTGGTACAAAATCTCCCTGGGCAGAGCTAATTTGCTAAAAAGTCATTTTACCTTTAAAAGTTGCAAAAGCCAGGAGGGAGGAATAAGCTAGGAATTTCACACAACAGAAAGAATGCTGGTGAACCTGGAGTATATAGGGATAGGTCATGAAAGAACCTGAGGTGAGAATGGGGGTGGCAGGAAAAAACAGATTCAGAGAGCCTTGAAAGGAGACTAGGTTTTCTTCTAATTGCAGCAAAAAGCCACTGCAATGTTATAAACAGTGATGATAACACATGATACAGCTCTTTAAAAGAAAAGCACACTGCCTACACTGCAAAGTATGATGGTGACTTGGGCCAGCAGGGAGATGCTGACAAGTGGCCAGACTGAGTGAAGACTTTGAAGGAAGGAAACCGAAAGTCTGAGGGAAAAGAGAAAGCAAAGGTGGCATCTGAAATTTTATCTTGAGCATCTGGAAAGATGGTGGTCTATTTCCTAAAATGCTAAAGACTAAATAAAATAACATGTACAAGGAAAGGAAGGTTTCTCTTTTGGACATGTTCAGTGCAAGATGTAAATAAAAAATTCAAGTGAGATGTTCAATTAACTGATATATATCTGCAATCTAGGGAAGAGGGTTGGAAATACAAATGTGGCATAGTTATATATATATTTAATTTTAAAATCATAAAACCAGGAGCATTCACTTAAAAGTAAGGTGTTGGTAAAAAAAATAAGGACAGAAGAGGGAGTACAAGTCCAGTGGCAGAGTGCTTATCTGGCATGCAAGCGGCCCTAGTTTGATGCCCAGCACCACAAAAAAATAAATAAAAATAAAATAAGGACAAAGACAGAGCCCACATAGGGGCTTGAGGAAAACACTGACACAGAAGAAATACCAGGAATGTGTGATATCAAAGAAGCCAAATGTGCAAGGACAAGAGTTTGGAAACACACACAGAATATAGTCTAGTGTGTCAGAGCTATTCTTTTCTTCTAGTTTTAATTTTATCCTGATTCTATTTTGCAAGTTTTAAAAGACCATTTTATTTTAAGTGTTCTTTATGTAAGTTACAAGAAAGAAGTCTTATATGGTACAAAGAGAATTATTAAAAAAGACTTCTAATATTGTTTGAACTGTTCTGGAATTACTTTCCATCCTTCTCTCTAAGAGTTAACCACTCTTTCAAAAACGATTGCCTGATTTATGGAAAAGCAGCTGTGAAAGAAGCCTAATGGAGGGGGGAAATGCTTGAAGGGTTAACTAAAAATTAAACTAACTTCCTTAGGAATGTCTACTGAACAGAAAAGTCACATGGTGATTTACGTAAAAGAAAGTTTGCTATAGCGTTACTTAAAATAGTAGAATAAATAGTAAATTGATTTACTGAACCATTTCTCCACTGTGTACCAGTTAAGGACATAAGAAATGGCTCATAACATTAATGAAAAGCAATTATTTTAAGTCTAATTTATGCTTTAAAACCTAGAAAAAAGTATATTGAAACTATTAGAAGATGAAATTACAAGTATTTTGGTTCACATCTAATTTTTTGCTTTTTCAACAAGTATTAAAATTCCATAATTAGAATTTTTTAAAGTCCTACATGTGAATCAAAAGATGCCAAGAAAGACCGTCACTCAAATGATAACACAATTCAAGCTTCTTCTCAGCAAAAGAAACAATCAGTGAGGCGAATAGAGAGCCTAGAGAATGGGAGCAAATTTTTACTACACACTAATCTTTAGGATATATCAAGAACTCAAAAATCTTAACACCAAAAAAACAAATAACCCAATCAATAGATGGGCCAAGGAACTGAACAGACAGTTCTCAGAAGAGGATACACAATCAATCAACAAATATATGAAAAACTGTTCATCATCCATAGCAATTAGAGAAATGCAAATCAAAACCACTCCTAAAGATTTTATCTCACTCTAGTCAGAATGGCAGCTATTAAGAATACAAACAACAATAAGTGTTGGTGAGGATGTGGGCGAAAAGGCACATTCATACATTGCTGGTGAGACTGCAAATTGATGCAACCAATATGGAAAGAAGTATGGTGATTCCTTGGAAAACGTGGAATGGATCCACCATTTGACCCAGCTATCCCACTCCTCAGTTTATACCCAAAGGACTTAAAAACATCCGACTTAAAAACAGCATACTACAGTGATACAAACACATCAATGTTTATAGCAGCATAATTCACAACAGCTAAATTGTGGAACCAACCTAGATGACCTTCAGTGAATGGATATAGAAAATGTGGTATATATACACAATGGAATATTATTCAGCATTAAAAGAGAATAAAATCATGGCATTTGCAGGTAAATGGAGAGTTGAAGAATATCATACTAAGTGAACCAATTCCAAAAAACCAAATGCCAAATGTTTTCTCCGATATGTGAATGCTGATACATAGTAAGGATTGCGGATTGGGTGAGGGAGCAGGGGAGGAATGGAGGAACATTAGATAGAGCAAAGGAGAAGGAGGGGAAGGGAGGGGGCAAAGGGGTAAGAAACATGGTGGAATGAGATGGACATCATTACCCTAAGTACATGTATGAAGACATGAAGGGTGTGACTGTACTTTGTGTCCAACCAGAGACATGAAAAATTGTTCTCTATATATGTACTATGAATTGAAATGCATTTTGCTGTCAAGTATAACAAATTAGAATAAATAAATAAATTTTAAAAAACAATTCTATGTGATGGAATTTTGGGATAATCTTAACATTGCATAATTGTTTGAATTACTTTTTCCATTTTCATAACATTAGTAAGGAAATTCAAATTATGAATGTGAAGAACAAAATAAAAGTGAAAACTAACAACTTATAAGAAATTGACAAATTCCTACAAAAATCTATCTTGGCAAATTCAATCAAGGGATAAAAAGAAAAAAAATGAACATTCCCATATCTAACCACTTAAAAAATTTAGTTAAATTTTTCCCCCAAAGAAGAAAAGTGGTAGAGTGCTTGCCTAGCATGTGTGAAGCACTGGGTTTGATTCTCAGTGCCACATAAAAATAAGTAAAATAAAGGTATTGTGAGCATCTACAACTAATTTTATTATTTATTTATTTTTACTTTTCCCAAAAAGAAAACACCAGTTTCAGTGGATTTATGGGTGAGACCTACTGAACTACTCAGAACCAAACAAAAACAAAACAACCAATTTTATACAAACTGATCGAAAGAGATGAGTCTGAGAGTAACATGAGAAGCTGGTTTCGCTCTGATACTAAGCAAATCCAACAGTGCGTTAAAAAAAAAAAAAATGACATATCATGATCGAGTTGGACTCAGATCAGAAAGGCAAGGTAATTTTTGACATCAGAAAAATCTAGATATATGGGCTGGGGTTGTGGCTCAGCGATAGAGCGCTTGCCTAGAGCGTGCGGGGCCCTGGGTTCGAGCCTCAGAACCACATAAAAATAAATAAATAAAATAAAGGTATTGTAAATGAATGGATAAAAAAATGAAGCATATATACACAATGGAATATTACTCAGCAATACAAGAGAATAAAATCATGGCATTTGCAGGTAAATGGATGGAGTTAGAGAAGATAATGCTAAGTGAAGTTAGCCAATCCCAAAAACCCAAATGTCAAATGTTTTCTTTGATATCAGGAAGCTGATTCATAGTCAGATAAGGAGGGGAAGCATGGGAGAAATAGATGAACTCTAGACAGGGCAGAGGAGTGGGAGGGGAAGGGAGGGGGCATGGGGTAATTAATGATGGTTGAATGTGATGATCATTATTATCCAAAGTACATGTATGAGGACACAAATTGGTGTGAGTATACTATGTATACAACCAGAGATATGAAAAATTGAGCTCTATATACGTAATAAGAGTTGTAATGCATTCTGCTATTATATATATAAAAAAGAAAGAAAGAAAAAGATGGAAAGATCTCCCTTGTTCTCAGATAAGCAGAATTAATATTGTCAAAATGAAAAAGGAAAAAACAAAGATATTGTGTCCAACTACAACTACAAAATAAATCTTGAAAAAAAAAAAGGGCTGAGGTTGTGGCTCAGTGGCAGAGCGCTTGCCTAGCATGTGGGAGGCCCTGGGTTCAATCCTCAGCACC